GAGTGCTGGCCCCTCAAGACAGCGCTATCGCGGACGAGCAGCTGTCGCAGCTGAAGCGCATCGTGGACGCATCGAAAGAGGGGGCAGGGTCCTCCTCCGCCTCCTCCTCCTCTCCTCCTCCTCCTCCTCCTCCTCCTGCGCAAGGGACTGCGTGACTTTCTGGGGGCCGAGGGGCAGTGGAACAGGAACAGTAGGAGGAGGAGGAGGAGGCGGAGGAGGAGGAGGAGGAGGAGGAGGAAGAGGAGGAAGCGGAAGAGGAGCAGGCGGAGGAGGAGGAGGAGGAGGAATATGCCATCATTTTTTTTTTGTTCTCGCTGTCCACACTCGTCTCCCTGCCCTCTCGCGCGCGTTCCCCCCACCTGAGCTCTTGTATGGATCGTCGTGGCGGGCCCGAATCCGAAAGAATTGTGTCACCCTTGCGGCAGCAGACCCTAAACGGCTTTGCACAGTTAAGATGGGGGCCACGATGGGGGGTGACGACAGGGGGCGACGATGGGGGGATCGGGACATGGATATGGATCGGGATAGGGATAGGGCATGTAGATGGGGATAGGGATAGGGATAACGGAGATCGGGATCGGGCTAGAGGGATAGGGGTAGGGCCACGGGTGGCAACGGGAGGCCACGGGAGGCAACGGGAGGCAGCGGGAGGCAATGGGAGGTAACGCCGCCTGCCCGATTTTGGATCTGGCAACGCATTTCTTAGAATATCAAGCTTCATATAAAACCCTTGCACACAAGCTGTTTAGGGCACGTGAAAAAAGAGGGGGAGGAGGAGTGGTCGGAAAATGGGGCCGCAGGGTGGAGCATCAGGATGGAAGAGAAAGGGGATGAAGGAGGTAAGAGGATTTACCAAGTGGGGGAGAGTGGAGCATGGAGGGAGTGGAGCAGTGGTTGGGAAGGTGGGGGAGAGGAGAGAGGAGGGAAAGCGGGCTGGTGGGACTTGCTAGATTGGACGCAGCGGGGAGGCCCAGATTGTACTGACCTCCGGTGACCGCTCCGTCAAGTCCGTGCGACAGGCACCGCTGGCGACCGCGCTGCCGCCTCCGCTGGGGCCGCTCGGCGTTTGGGCTTGCGCAGGGCAGTGGGGTCAGCCGGGGCCTGGAATCGAGGAAGAAACACCAGCATAGACACAGACTTTCGGATCGCTTGGATCGGCGCTGGGCTCCCCATGGGGCGCTCCGCGCGCCAGAGAGGGGGATCCAGGGCCGATCCAGGAAGTCCTCGCAGGATCTCGAAGGTGTATGCTTGTCCTGTTTTGTTTTTCCTCTTGCTTTGCGGGGTGCACGTTCGGAGCATGTAGAGACTGGGCGTTGGGCGGTTTGCCCTGCTCGTCTGCCGCGAAGTTCTGCCGTGTCGTTCTGCCCGCCCCCGGGGGCTGCCAGCACCACGGGCGGCGGATGCCCTCGGTGCACCCCGTTGTAGCGCCTGGACGAGCGTGCGAACGTCAACGAGGGCAATGAGCATTCACCGCATGTCCACACAAGGCAAGGCCAAGTTCAAATTACGATGAGCATAGTAACAGCGCACCATGCGTATACGGTTCCGCGGGTGTCTTGGTGGTTTCTTGCGGCCGCTTAGGGGCTTCTTGGGGGCATTCTGGAGGTTTCTTGGGGGCCCCTGGTGGCCTCTTGGGGGCCACTTTGGGGCCTCTTGGGGCCTCTTGGGGGCGTCTTGGGCCGTCTTGGGCCGCTCTTGCGCCGTGTGGCCCCTTCGGAGGCCTTCTTGGGGGCCTCTCGGGGCCGCCTTTTGGCTCTCTTGGGGTCCTTTTGGGCCGTCTCGAGGGCCTCTTTGGGCTATCTTGAGGCCCGCTTGGGCCGTCTTTGGGCCCTCTTTTGGGAGCCTCTGGGTCTGTCTTGGGGCCATCTTGGAGGCAGCTTGGGGCGTCGTGGGCCCCTGGAAATCCCAAACAGCGAGAACGCGAACACTGGGTAAAACCGTAAGGAACATAATGGTTTCTGGCTTCTGGAGGTGCTCTTGGGCCCCCCCTTGGAGCCCTCTGGGGCCGTCTTGGGGGCCTCTTGGGCCTTCTTGGGTAAATGTTAGGCAGTCTTGAGGCCGCCTGGAGGCCATTTTGAGCCGTCTTCAGGCCCTCGTGGACCCCAAGAGGCCCAAGAGGTCTAATTTTGTCATTTTGTTGTGTCAGTTTTTTGTACGTTGTTTAGCCCCAGAAGGGTCGGCTATCTTTGGGTCTACGGATGTGGCGTGACTCCAATGAGGGGGTTCGGGAGGGTTTTATTACGATATGAAATAATAGTATGTGTATGTGTATGTGTATGTGTATGTGTATGCGTATGCGTATGTGTACGTGTACGTGTACGTGTACGTGCACGTGTAGGTGTAGGTGTGTAGGTGTGTATGTGTGTAGGTGTGTAGGTGTGTAGGTGTGTAGGTGTGTAGGTGTGTAGGTGTGTAGGTGTGTAGGTGTGGGTGTAGGTGTAGGTGTAGGTGTAGGTATATGTGTATGTGTATGTTTGCGTATGTGTATGTTTATGCGTATGTGTATGTGTATGTGTGTATGTGTATGTGTATGTGTATGTGTATGTGTATGTTGTATGTATGTATATATATAGTGAGATATGATGCTAGGTATGATTGGGCACGGGATATAGTGCATTTTAGCTTTCGCGGAAAACGCTGCTGCCACTCAGCACGTCACCTTCCAGACATGAATTCATCCACGTCCGGAGCACGCAAGGACTGGGTGTTGGGTGGTCAGCCCTGCTCGACTGCCGCGCTGGTCTGCCGTCTCGTTTTGCCCGCCCTGGGGCGTTGCCAGCGCCACGGGGGCAGATGCGCCCTCCCCGTCTCAGCGCCTGGACGAGCGTGCGAGTGTCCACGAAGGCACTGAGCATTCCCCACGTGTCAGCACAAGGCAGCGCGAAACAACGATGAGTATAGCAACAAGGCGCTATTCGTATACACTTACGCGGGCTTGTGGTTTCTTGGGGCCTCTTGGGGGGGCCTCTTGGGGGCCTCTCGGAGTTTTCTTGGGGGCCTCTTTGGTGCCTCTTTGGTGCCTCTTTGGGGTCTCTTGGGGGCGTTTTGGGCTGTCTTGGGGCGCTCTTGCGCCGTCTGGCCCCTTCGGAGGCCTTCTTGGAGGCCTCTCGGGGCCGCCTTGTGGCTCTCCTGGAGTCCTCTTGGGCCGTTTTGGGGGCCTCTTGAGTGGTATTCGGGGCCACTTTGAGCCATCTTGGGACCCTCCTAGGGCTTGTCTGGGGCCATCTTGAAGGCCGCTTGGGCCGACATGGGCTCCTGATAGCAAGAACAAAGTCGTTCACAACATCACAACATATTATTGTTTTGGGCCTCCACGCGCCCTCTTGGGGGTCCACTTGGGTGTCCATTTGGGGCCATCTTGGGTCGTCCTGGGGGCCTCTTGGGCCCTCTTGGGGCAATCCTGGGCCGTCATGGGGCCGTCTTGGGGCCGTCTTTGGCTGTCTTGGGGCCATATTGGCCCATCTTGAGGTATCTGGAGCCGTCTTGAGGCCCTCATGGACCCTAAGGAGGCCCAAGGGGCCCAAATCATATATTCCCCATGTGTTGTTGTAAGTTTAGAGGCCCAAAGCGGGTCCTCCATCTTTGGGTCGACGGAAATGGGGTGGCCTCGGGAGGGGGGATTTAGGGGGGTTCTGTAAGAATGTCAAATAATGTAGTGTGCAGCAATTCTGCAACACTGGAATACCCTTTGTGCATTCATTTGGCTACTTTGATACGTTGCCTTGCCGCATCCGCAGACCTGCCTCCAGCAACTCGTCCTTTCAGACGTGGGTTCCTCTCGCTTCGCGGGGTGCACGTCCAGAGCACGTACAGACTGTGCGTTAGGCGGTTTCCCCTGCTCGCCGCTGCTCGTCTGCCGCCAGGTCTTTCTGCCCGCCCCGCCGGGGCTGGCAGTGCCCTGGGTGCTAATGCGCCCCCCCCGTTGCAGCGCCTGGGCGAGCGAGTGAATGTCCACGGGGGCAATGAGCATCCACCGCGTGTCGGCACGAGGCAACGCCAAGTTCAAGCTCCGATGAGCATAGCCACAAAGCGCCATTCGCATACATCTTGGCGGTTTCTTGGGGCCGTTCCGCTGTGGCTATCTTGGGGTCGTCTTTGAGGCTGCTTGGGCCGTCTCGGGCCCCCGAGAGTCGAAAAAGGCGAGAACGCGAAAATATTGTAAAGCGCATCGGACAATCAATGTTTTTTGTCTGGGGAAGCTCTTGGGGGCCCCCTTGGAGCGTCTTGGGAGCCTCTTCGGCCCTCTTGGGGCGATCTTGGAGGCCCGCTTGGGTCACCAAGAGGTCCCAGAGGCCCAAATCGTATATTTCTTCAGGTTTTGGTTGGTTTTGGAAGCCCAGAAGGGGTTCACAACGTTTGGTCGACGGATGTGGCGTGACTCCAGTGGGGGGGGGTTAGGGGGTACACGTTGCAATTGTGCAATTGCTGAATTTATTCCGTACGTTGCGTTACAGCATCCACGGACCTGCCTCTGGCAACACGTTCCGTCCCGACGTGGATTCCTCTCGCTTCGCTGGGTGCACGTGTGGAGCAAGTACAATCCAGTCGTTGCGCGGCCTGGTTGGAACCTCTTTGGAGCCTCTTCGAGGCCCCTTGGGGGCTTCTGGGGTGCCTCTTGGAGGCTTCTTGGGGGCTGGGGGCCCCTGGTGGCTTCTTGGGGGCCACTTCGGGGCCTCTTGGGGCCTCTTGGGGGCGTCTTGGGCCGTCGTGGGGCGCTCTTTCGCCGTCTGGTCCCTTCGGAGGCCATCCTGTGGGCCTCTCGCGGCCGCCTTGGGGCGCTCTTGGGTTCCTTTTGGGTCGTCTTGGGGTCCTCTTGGGGGCTTGTGGGTCGTCTTGGGGTCATTTTGGAGGCTGCTTGGGCAGTCATGGACCTCTGAGGGCCGAAAAGGACGAGAATGCTAAAATCTGCCAGCAACTATTGTAACATCTATGATTTGGGCCTCTGGAGGTGCTCTTTGGGGTCCTCTTGGGACCCTCTTGGGTCGTCTTGGGGGCTTCTTGGGCCCTCTTGGGGCCATCTTCGACTGTCTTGGGACCGTCTTGGCGGGTTTCGAGGCCATCTTGAGCCACCTTGAGGCCCTCTTGGGATCCCATTAAATTGGGTCGTTGGAAGTGGCGTGGCCTCAGAGGGGGTAGGGGGTATATATATATATATATATATCTATATAATAATAATATTAATAATAATAATTCTAATAATATTAATAATACTAATAATAATAGTAATAATAATATTAAACCATCCAACACGCAGGATCGAACACGCAGGAATTATGTAATGAGCGGATACATCAGAATTGAGCAACAAGTCGATGTACAGGATCTGTTGCATTAGGGCTTCCGCTCCGCCACGCGACCTGCCTCCGGCACCACGTCACTTCGGGACGTGGATTCCTCTCGCTTCGCGAGGTGCACGTCCAGAGCACGTAAAGACTGGACGTTGGGTGGTTTGTCCTTCTCGTCTGCATCGAAAATATGTCGTGTCGTTCTGCTCGCCGGGGGGCGCTGTCAGTACCACGGGAGGATGCGCCCCCCCCGTTTCAGCGCCAGGACGAGCGTGCGAATGTCAACGAGGGCATTGGGCATCCACCGCGTGTCAGCACGAGGCAACGCCAAATTCAATTTCCGATGAGCATAGCAACAACGCATCATTTGTATACAATTCCGCGGGTGCCTTGGTGGTTTCGTGTGGCCTTCTGGGGGCTTTTTGGGGGCCTCATGGAAGCTTCTTGGAGGCACTTAGGGGCGTCTCGGAGGCCTCTTTGGGGCCTCTTGGGCCTTTTGGGGGCTTCAGGGTTAAACGATCTCCGCGGTGTCAGGAACCAACGCTGAAGTCGGCACGACACGAACCTACAGTAAAACATGAACTTTCGATGGTCTGCAGAGAACTCGTGGATTTGCGCTGCATCTCCATTGCGGCGCCTCCGGCGCCGCCCCTGGCGCGCTCCGCGCGCCAGGGAGGGGGGCCCAGCGCCGATCCAAGAAATTCGCGCGCACCTGCGACAGTTTATGTTCATGCAGTTTCTTCCACTTCTGGTGGTGTAGCGTTCTCGGGAAGCTACCGCCGCTGCCGCCGCTGAAGCGCTGCCCTTGCTCTGCCAGCCGCGCAGGGCCCCTCTGGGCACGATCGCGATCCGGCTCAGTGTCGGCTTTGGCCGGCCCGATCCGGCTCGGTTCCGACGGCCCGACGGTCCGGTGCGGCCCGGTGCCCGCGCGGCGCTGTCGCATCCTGGCGCGGCCGACCCAGTTCGATCTCGACTCCCTGCCGGTGCAGCTCGATCCGACGCACACCTCGCTTCGACCAGATCTTCTGATCGGTGCGGCCCGATGCCTGCACGGCTCCGTTGTGCATCCTGGCGCGGCCGACCCGATTCGATCATGACTCTGACGATGCAGCCCGATCTGGCGGGCATCTTGATTCTCTCTCCGGGTATCTGATTTCCCGGTTCGATGCTGACCGCCTCCCGTCCTGATCCCAGCTGCTGCGGCTGCTCTTCCTCCTTGCCGCTCCCTGCTGTTCCTTCCACCCCCACCCCTCTTTCGTTCTCCGGTGGGGCTGGGCGTTGCTCCACCCGCTCCCGCTCAGGCGGCTGAGGCCCTGGAGGGCGCCGGCATCGTCGGCCTGATCGGCATGACGGACTCCCTGGAGGCCGAGTATGACGGGTCGGACCTTGCAGAGTTGCGCGTCAACGAGATCGGCACGTACCTGGAGGAGAAGGAGGACTACATCGACGAAGGATCCCGTCCGATAGTGTCCTGGTCGATGATCCTTAGGACGTGTGTTGGCCCTGTGTGTGTGTTACCAGGGTCAGTTCCGACGAGAGAACGCGGACTGTGCCGGCCCTCGATACGTTGCCTGCGCGTAATCGTAGTAGTAGTAGTAGTAGTAGTAGTAGTAGTAGTAGTAGTAGTAGTAGTAGTAGTAGTAGTAGTAGTAGTACTAATCGTCGTCGTCGTCGTCGTCGTCGTCGTCGTCGTACTATTATTATTATTACTATTCTTAGTAGTAGTAGTAGGAGTAGTAATAGTAGTAGTCGTATTCGTAGTCGTAGTCGTAGTCGTAGTCGTAGTCGTAGTCGTAGTAGTCGTAGTCGTAGTCGTAGTCGTAGTTGTCGTCGAAGTTGTCGTCGTAGTAGTAGTAGTAGTAGTAGCAGTAGTAGTAGTAGTAGTAGTAGTAGTAGTAGTAGTAGTAGTAGTAGTAGTAGTAGTAGTAGTAGTAGTAGTAGTAGTAGTAGTAGTAGTAGTAGTAGTAGTAGTAGTAGTAGTAGTAGTAGTAGTAGTAGTAGTAGTAGTAGTAGTAGTAGTAGTAGTAGTAGTAGTAATAGTAAGTAGTAGTAGTAGTAGTAGTAGTAGTAGAAGAAGAATAATGAGTAGAAGTAGAAGAAGAAGTAGTAGTAGTAGTAGTAGTAGTAGTAGTAGTAGTAGTACTAGTAGTAGTAGTAGTAGTAGTAGTAGTAGTAGTAGTAGTAGTAGTAGTAGTCGTTACAATCGTGTCAGTAGGAGGAGGAGGAGGTGGAGGAGGTGAAGAAGGAGTTGGATTAGTCGTAGCAGTCGTAATCGTTTCACTGGTCGTATTGGTATTACCAGTGGCCTTACACGTCGTATTGAAATGGCCTCCGGCCAGGGCCGCCGATCCAGTGGCGTTTCTGTTTTTTGCGCTTTACGTTTTTTTCTCTGTTCCCATCCTGTTCGCGCGTCTCCTATTCACATTGTGGTATTCGTCCCCGCCCCCTCCAAACCTGGATGGGGGCAGCCCCGTCTCCCCCCCTCCCTGCAGAGTCACCATGGCACCCCCAAACTCCCTCCAAACCTGAATGGGGGCAGCCCCCCCCCCCTACCCCCCCTTCCCCGGCAGAGCCACCCCGACACCCCCCCAGCGCCCCCCCCACTCCAAACCTGAATGGCCCTCCCCTCTTCTCCAACCTGAATGGCGGCAGCTCGCCCCCCCCCCTCCACGGCAGAGCCACCCCGGCATCCCCCAAACTCCCTCCAAACCTGATTGGGGGCAGCTTCCCCCCCGCCCTCTTCCACGGCAGAGCCACCCCCGAAATTCCCTCCAAACCTAAATGGGGGCAGCCCTCCCCCTCCTTTCCCCGGCCGAGCCCCCCCAGCCACCCCCAAACTCACACGCCGGATCGGCGGAATTCTAGTGCCCTTACACATCGTCTCGAGGGACCCCAACCAGGGGTCTGGCCTCTTGCCGGCGGCGATAATTGGCGCGGCCAGCCAATTCCTTGTTGGAGTCGTTCCCAGAAGGCACCAAAGCCCCTACGATGCCTTTGAGAGGCTCCCCACGACCCCACAGGGAGGAGCCTCGCAGAGAAACGCAAAGCTTACAAAGAGGATGGGGAAGGGCGAGAATGGGGAAGGGAAAGACGAAACAGGAGGACCAGGAGAACTAGGAAACGAGCAAAAATGACGAGAACGACCATCTCCTTTCCATAGCCGAATCCAGGGGCCACGGCCGTGCCCGCCCTGTCTCAGCTAGGCCCAGACGCCTGTCCACAGCGGTGTTCGTTCGCCCCTTCGTGCGTTCGATCGTTCTCTTCCAGGACGGTACGGGCACGCGCAGGCGTGCCGTGGTCGTCCGCGGCTCGTTCGGTCCGGTCCGGCTGTCCCGCGGTCGGCTGCCTTCGGCCGCTTCGGCTCGGTCGGCTGCTGTTGCGTCGTTGCCGCGAAGCTGCGCCCTTGCAGGCTGCCTGCGGCCTTCTTGGTTTGGGTCGGTCTCAGTCTCACTTTCGGTGCGGTCGGTCTTCGACTGCGCTGCCGCCGTGGACGGCCTCGTGCGTGGGCCGTGGCGCTCGGCCGTCCCATGGCCCCGCCAGCACAAGAGAGTCCCATCCCTCTGTGAACCCTGAAGGGTATTTGACTGGATCACCAAATCGATCTGCACACGAAGACGTGCGTGCAAATCTGTTCTTACATGCCTGGTTGGTCGGCGGACGTCCCGAACCAATGCGGAGAGCCCCCCCCCCCTCCGCGTGCGCCCTCCGAGACCACTGGGTCGCTCTCGACGACTGCGGGCTCGACACGGAGACGGAGGAACGCCAGAGGAAGGAGGAGGAGGAGGAGGAGGAGGAGGAGGAGGAGGAGGAGGAGGAGGAGGAATAGGTTGAGGAGGAGGAGGAGGAGGAGGAGGAAACGGAGGAAATGGAAGAGGAGGAAGAGGAAAATAAGGAGGAGGAGCAGGAGCAGGAGCAGGAGGAGGACGAGGAGGAGGATTCGGAGGCGGAATGGGAGGAAGAATGAGAGGAAGAAGTAGTGGGATGTGGAATGGGAGGAGGGTGGAGGGAGGAGGAAGGAGGGAGGAGTGGGGAGGGAGGTGGGAAGAGGGAGGCGGGAGGAGGGAGGTGTTGATGCATGGATGCCAGGAGGACATCGCAGCACCGTCGATGGGAGAGCAGAAGGCAGTGAACACGTGGATGTGCATCAGTGAGGGTTTTGCTGGCGTTTCGGTTATATGTTTCCAGAGCAGGCTCTTTAGCCGACGGTGTGTCGGCCTTTCCTATGCAGGACGAGGCGCGTCATTCGCCACCCCTCTTTCCAGTTCGGGCGTGGAAACGCCCATTTCAGGGCGCTGAAGCGCACTGGGCGCTGAAGCGCAGGCATCGGCAACCATAAGAAGCCTCTGCGACACCAACACTGGCAGTATCTCCGATACTACTATATTGGTACAGCGGAGCTTGTCACGGACGTGTTTCGAGTACGGCGTTGGATCGATAACCCAACAAATCGAGGGCGGCGTCATACCGCGGCGGAACGGGAGGTTAGAGTCCATCGATGAGTACATCGAGAATGTTCGGATATACATGTCAGGCACGAAGGACGAGAGGCAGCTGTGTGGCGCACGCACGCTTCGTAGGCGTGATGGCCGATGGTTTTGCCAAAAACCCTGGCGTTCAACGCGGCGACTCTAGGCAAGGAGGACGGTGCACAGCTGCTCGTACAGTACTTCAAAGAGAAGCTCGGAAACCAGGCGCCCATTGACCCAATGAAGATGCTCGTGCAGTACATCTACCACTTCACGCGCAAAAAGGGTGAGAGCATGGTCGCCTTCGGCAATCGAGAGCACGAGCTGCATCGCAATCTGCAATGGGTTTTCAAGAGAGTCAGGGATACAGACGAAGATAATGAAGATGAGTGTTTCGAGACCGAGCTGCGAGGGGTATCGATTCTTTACAACAGTGGTTTGGGCCCGACCGATCGAGCCCGAGTTCTTTTGGCGAGCGGCCATAAGCACACGCGCGACAAGATCTTGGAGGCTCTGATCGGGAACTGGCCCGAGGACGAACTACGACGTCGAGATGGAGTCCGGTCGGATACTCGCGCGGTGGATGGTTTCGATACCGAGAACGACGACATGTCCGAGCACGACATGGACTACCAGGACGACGCCGCCGCCCGCCGCCGACGGTTTCTATGAATACGAGGACGAGGCGAGCTCGGACGAGACCAACCAGGAGTCATTCGAGACCGACCCGCAGCAGGAATCCACCATGATGATGCAGCAGGCCCAGAGGACGTTTAAGGAGGCTCGCAATCTACTCATACAGAACAAGACGAACGGACGGCGCCACCCGACTGGACCGCCGCAACACAACTCAGGAGCACGACTGGACGAACAGCGAGGGCAGCAGCGAGCACCTCGACCTCCACCGGCGAGGCTGGCTTCAGCGAGATCGAGGCTCACGGCGACCTTTCGGACGAGGTGGCGCGGTGGGGAACGGCAGCTACCAGGGAGGTTGCCAGCCCGGGCTACCTGACCGCGACCGCGGATGCAAGCGACCGGGCGGATCGTCAGGTCAGGCCCCGATCGCGAAGAAGTTGTTGAAGTGTGGCAAGACGGACCACCTCGCCGAGGACTGCCCAGACCTGCAGGGATCTGGCGGGCCGAGCTTTCCGGGTGACATTGGTCTCGCGATGGAGATGGATACTTTGGGAAAAGACCTTCGCGCGCTCGCGGCGCGCAGTTTCTTCGGCGCCCAGGAATGTCACGGACGGGTGATCGCGGGCAGCGGGGCGTCGCAGTGCATGGCCGGGCCCCCTGGCCGAGCGCGGTGCAGGGCGCGATCTGCGCGCGGCGCGGCGAAGACCTCGTCGCAGTCGACCCGACTTACCAGGCGGAGTTCATGATCGAGAACGGCGCCAGGGGCGCGAGTATGGGGCGCATCGCGACCCCACCTTTCATCGCCGAGGTTTCCGGGGCGCTGGCCTTCGCCTCGGCGAGCCTGGCCCAGCGGGCTCTCGAGCTTCAGCGCGCGACTGCCCCTGCGTGGCCCGGGAGGGAGCGTCCGAAATGGGGGCCCGAAAAGCAAACGTCCTCTCGCAAATCTGGCAGCGCAGGCGGCCTCCCGTGGCCGTATTCGAATTGACCGAGTAGGTTCGATATCGATTTCGGCTCGCCCGATCCGATTCGATTCTGAAGCCCCGACTATCCGATGCCGTCCGATGCTTGAATGGCGCCGATGTGCAGCCTGGCGCGGCCCATCCGATTCGAGTTCGTGCAGATGCTGCCAGATCCGACGCGCTTTCCGATTCGATGCGATTGACCGATTCGATGCTGACTGATCCTGACTTGCTCGTCTGACAGCCGAGTGGCCCGCCCGTCGAAGGCAGGCAGCGCGGGTGCGGCGGGGGCCTGGGGGCCTGGGGCCCCGGGGGCGCGCGGCCAGACCTTCGGGGCCGCGGCCCGTTTTGCGCGCCCTGAGCCACCTGCGCCGTTCGTTCGTCGGCATTATTCGGCACGCGCGAGCTGCGGTGATTGCGGTCGGGCCGAGGTGCAAGATCCAGGTCGGTTCGGGGAGGGTTCCCCACGGTTCTGGGTGTTTTGCGGATGTCCCTGTGCGTCCAGGGGAGGGTGCGTTTGTTTGGCCGGCGGAGGGTCTCGTGTTCTTGAAGGATGGTGTTCTGTCCTGGGGTTCGACTGCGCCGGCCGCTGGGGGCACTGGGCGTTGGGTCCACGAGGCACTTTGGGGGTCGGCAGCGGCAGTTTCTCTGGGGAGCGATGATGCAGCCAGAGTGCGCGCTCGGTAAATTCAATCGTTCGGCGCCTCCACCCCATGACCATCATTTGGGGCCGCGAAGCGGTAGTTCAAGATTTCGGGTTCAATGTTTGATAACCCACCGTGTTTTTGCACGTCGGCTTTCCCCCCGACCCCCATCGCTCGAGGAGGAGTAGCAGTGCTGCTCCTCCTCCGTCCTCCGCGTCTCTCCTTTCCCCCCGCTCTGCTCCTCTGACTGGGGCACCTGTTCGATCCCCTTTCGATTCGCGCCACCCCGCGCGCGCCCACCGCGTGATGGTCGTCGACGCAAGCTTTAATGCACTACGCCAGCCCCCACCTGTGCGAGACTTGTGATTTGTTGTGGGTGATGGCCCGCTGTCCCCTGTTTCACTGGACTGACATGCTGACCTGCAGCGTCAGGGGCGCTTATCCCCCAGAGCAGTGGCAGCGGGAGAATGGCTGCCGATCGAAATTTTCCGAGCTGAACCAACCCCGACACGCTGGGGCTGATCGAGGGAGGGAGCGCGAGCGAGAACGAGGTTGGTAGCGGAGCTCCGCGGTTGACCCCGCGGACCCCAAGAGAGCGGCAGAGGGGCGAGCCATCCCGAAGAGCCATGGCGAGTGGAGACACACCTACAATAGCGCCCTGGATCCGAAGATACCTGTGCTGAAGGGTGAGGCTCTGGAGGACTTCGCCAGGTGCGAGAGGGCAGTGCAGGCGGCCGAGTCGGTCGCGAGTCCATGGAGCAGAAGATCGCGCTCGGGCCCAAGCTGCACCGCAACCTCCTCGGCGCAGACAACTCCATCAGTGTCCTGATCGAGCGGGCGGACCCGAAGGATTATGCTGTCGAGAGGGGCGCCGAGGTGTTGCTCGAGTTCCTCGCGGTCGAGCGCCTCGCGAAGAGCAGTTTCCGCGAGCTGCCGAAGGCCTTCGACGCGTTCTGCGGCCTGGCGCTTTCGAGCACAGTGGCGAAGAACCGATGGCGGCGTTCTGCGCGGACATGGAGGTGGCGAAGCGGAACCTGGGAGAGGTGGGCCGGGGCGGGACGATGAGCTCGAACGAATTTGGGTGCCGCACTCTGAAGCGAGGCGGACTCGACAAAGACGGGCGGAACCTGGTGATGGCGAGGGCAGGGGAGTCTTTTAACTTCAGGAAGATTTCTACGACGCTCAAGACATCTCTTCCCTCGCGGTGGCAACAAGCGCCGAGGACTGAACGCGAGGGCGGGCTGGCGCTGGGCGATGAACGCGCGCGACGGCGAGCCCGGACATCCAGTCGAAGAAGACGCGCGCTAGAGTTCTGGGTCCAGGACGACGACGGGCACTGGTGCGAGTGGGACGACGATCGCGGAGTTCATGCGTGCGCGGACGAAGACGAGGAGGGCGACTGGGACATCAGTCACCTGTTCTACCTCGAGGACGACGCCGACGCGTTCCGGGCTGGAAGAGATGGCGAATGTCACCAGACTCTGGTCACTATTGCGCGAGAGTCGACTGATGATGAATATGCTGCGGGCTGTCAGGGGATTCTTCGCGGGAAGTATCGACGGCGTCGCGGGCGAGAGCGCGGCAGCTGGGGGCAAGGTGGCCGGGGGGGGCTCCATGAAGGGCAAAGGCAAGGGCAAGGGCGGTGGCAAGTCAAAGGACAGACGATGCAGCGAGTGCGGCAGGAGGATGGACCACGCCACGCCCGAGTGCCCGACCGGTGACTCGCCCGGGAAGCCCGCCGAAGGCAAGAGCCGCAGCTCAGGATCGAACCCAGTCAATCGTCAACGACGGCTCGGGTTCTGGGCGATGAGTGCCCTGGTCTGTGCGGTGCCGACGCGCGTGGGCGTCAGACGCCCGAGGCGCGGCCAGGACGTCGCCGACGTGAGCGGGCAGCTCAAGAAGGACTACGATATCCTGATGGTGAATGTGCACAGCGATCCGATTTTGCCGGATAGACTGGAACTTGAAGTGATGATCTCAAGTGACGTCGTGCTGGCTTCCTCGATAGATAGCGGGGCCTCGATTGCAGTGGCAGGGCGCGGACGGCTTGGCCGCGTCGAGGCAGAGCTCGCGAAGCATGGCCTCAAGCCCATCAAGATGGAGGCCCACCACAAGTTCAAGGGACTTGGCGGATCACGACGTCAACCAAAGCAGAAGTGGATCATCCCGGTCGGCGTCGGGAAGAAGCATGTTCTGCAGGGGTACTTCGAGATCCCTGGCGACATGGTCGGCCTGACGAGCAGGAAGGACCTCGCCGAGTGGATGGCGAATCCCTACGTGCGCGAGGGCGGCCACTGGGGGCGCTTCAGGAGCTCGGGGTACATGGCGAGGAACTGGTGGAGCTACCTGGCGGACGTGCAGGCCTCGACCTCTTCGACCTACGACCTCGGGTCGCACGAGCCGGGGCCCCTCTTCGAGAAGCCCCGCAGGCGCAGCTCGAGCCGGAGGTATTTCTGGTCGCAGAGACATCGCAGGAGTTCGTGCCGGGCTTCCCGGTGAAGAATCGCCGGCTCGTGGGTCGCAGAGGCTCTGAAGAACGGCGGCAAGGGCATATTCAAGAAGGGCGCGCCCAAACGGATCGACAAGCTGATGAAGGAATATTCGGTCATTTTCGACGTGCTGCGCGACCGCCAGGAGACCTTCCTGTGGGAGTTGTTTGCGAAGGAGGCTCGCTTTACTCGTGTGGCCCCGAAGGGTGGTCATGCGAACGCGACCCCCTCATCTTTGTCGGTTGGGGTTAACTTGAACGACCCCCAGACTCAGTCGGATGTCCTGTTCCTGATAGCGACCTTCGAGCCCTGGATGGTCTCGGTCGCACTCCCATTCGCGCCTTTCTCGAAAGCGCGAGAGTTTCAGCGCGCTCAGGGCATGGGCGACCGGGTGGGCGATCTAATCGAGGAGTTCAGGCCGTTGGTTGATTTTTCGGCCAAGGTGCTTCGGACTCAGGCTGAAGGCGGACGTATCGGCATCGGCGAGAACCCTCTTACGACTCGCGCATGGGACGATGAGCCGATCATGGACTTATTGTAGCGCCGGCACGGCGGTCGACCTCCACTGCGAGATGGTCACGCTGTACCAGTGCATGTTCGGACTGACAGACGACTACGGGACGCCGATTCGGAAGGCCACGCGCATGTCGGTGCCTAATGGCTCGTGCTTCTCGTGGTGGCTCGACCGCGGGCGTGACAAGAGCCACGAGCATGCCGACACGGTTGGACGAGGTACTCTGCCCTCGCGGGCCAGTGCCTGGCCGGACGACCTGGGCAAGACCCTGGTGAGTGCTGGCACGCATGAGCTAGCGCGGCGCACCGACCTCAAGAAGTTGGGCATCGGAGACGGTGTAACGAAGGTCCCGGACCAGCAGACCACGCGCACGGTAGCGAAGGATTTCAAGCTGAGGAAGGACTTGATTCACGTACGCGTGTTGAGGCAGAACGAGGCTGTTCCCCTACCTCGCGGAGCTGTGCAGCGCATTACGCCGCGTATACCGACGAGGGCGTGCTGGCCGATTTTTCCGACGCCTGCGCGGACGACCCGAGCTCCGCGACGTTCGAGCTAGCCACGAGGTGCCCAACCGACACGGTGGTCGCGATCTCCGTGAAGGAGCCGAAGGTGCAGACGTCCCCCCCTGCGACGGTACCCTTACTCGGCAGCGGACCAGAAGCATTCAAGCCAGACGATCGTGAAGCAGACGCAGTACATCGAAATCTACATCGCGAATGTGAGAGCTTCGGCGACAAGCTTTCGGACATCACCACGGCTCAGTGGGGCGCTCTAAGGAAGCTCCACCTGGACATGAGTCACCCATCGGCTTGCGCCGCTCTGAAGCGACGCCTGAAGTACTACGGGGTGTCGCAGAAGGTGCTCGACGCGGTGGATAAGCTGGGCTGCGTCGTGTGCAAGGAGCTCGGCAGGCCCAGCACTACGAGGTCGGCCAACCTAAAGCTCTCGATGGAGTTCAACGAGAACGTTTTTCTGGGCAGATAAGACACGCTTGATGGTGATGGTGATCCTGGATGACGCGCCGAGTTTCAGGGTCATCCTGCAGCAGCGCGGTCCATCGCGGGCGAGGAGAGCCTTCGCTGTTTCTCGCAAGGATGGCTCTCGTGGGGTGGCCCTCCGACGGTGCTCCACTACGACGCGGCGAAGGGCCACGCCGCGCGCCGGTTTGCGTAGATCGGCGAAACGGTCAACATCCTGATGAGGCCGGTCCCGGCCGAGGCGCCTCAGCTCAATGGCGCGGGCTATCGACTTCCGTGGGCGCTTCAAGCACGAATCCCACTAGCAGGTGGAGCATGGCCTCGGCGACGTTCTGGAGGGCGATACCCTAGAGGCGCACCGGCTGGTGGTCGCATGACGCAGCAAGTGCCGTCGAGCTAGTTGCGACGCGGGGGTGATCCCGAAGGGCAAGGGCAGCGAGAAAGGAAAAGGCAAGTCACGGAGTACACGCAGAGTTGGCCCAAACGAATGCATGCGTCCAGCGGATCAGCTCACGACTGTTGGCACCAACCAGTGCGATGAGAGGGTGCGCTGCCGCCTGTCTGACGCGCTGCTCGTGGACCGCGACGCGAAGTAGTGGTCCGAGGAGAAGGAGCTTCGCGCAGGGGTCAATGCGATCCGCCTCTAGAAGCAGAAGCAGGAGCTCTTAAGTCGGTCGAGAGCACCGACGGCCAGACGATCCTCGACGCCATGAGCTACTACATGACACAGTCGCTCAAGTTATCGTGAGTGAGCGGCACCTCCATATTTACATATTTCTTGTTGGTTGTTGAACTGAGCCAGCGTCTGCTCGCAGGCACGCTTGGTCAGATAACATAAGATGAGTGTGATTTGTGAGGACGGGCAAGCTGACCTGCAGCGCTGGCGTTTGGGGAGCGCTTATCCCCCAGAGCAGTAGCAGCGGGAGACTGGCTACGATAGCAGGTCATCGGTCGTTTTGATCGAGTTCTCCGATCTGAACCCGCCCCGACATGCTGAGGCTGATCGATGGAGGGAGCACGAGCGAGAACAAGGAGACCGGATAATCAAAACACTCGCCCCCGCCTGTACAACACAACGCTAGCCCCCACGACTCCAAGCGCGAAACACCACAGCAAATCCACGAGAATTCCGAACTCCGCTCGCACGCGTCCACAGTGTGCTCGCCGTCGACGCAGCGACCAACACAACAAAACCAGCTCGCACGTTACTCCCCCGCGTTCCCCGTGCCCCCTTCCTTCCCCCCCCCTCCACACGTTCTCCGCCCTTTGGCTTCGAAGCCTTGGGATGAGGACCGCTTTGGCCTCAGAAGGTGCTCGGAGTCCCTTGTGGGCGCCCTCCCCCAGCCTTCGTCGGGCGGCCACCGCACCATCCGGGCGCAGGCGTGGGGCCAAACAGGGCGCCCCGCTCCCCGTGTGAGGCCCCCCGTGGCGCGAGTCTGACAGCAACGCGCACCAGGAGGTGGCGCGCAAGGGGGGCGGCCTCCTCAGAAGGCAAGGCCTCGTGGACCGCGGGTGCCTTCGCAGTAGCGCCCTGGAGGCCTCTAGGCTTCTTTGAAGCCCTGAAGGCTTCTGACCACGGTATGCGACGTTCTGGCTCCTGTTCTCAGTGCGCGGTCGCCGGAAGTCCCGACTTTTCCCCCAGGGCTGGCTGTTGACCCCAAGCCGATTTCTGATGGTCCCAGGGCCCCGCGAGGGCCCTCAGAGGCTGAACGCTGCAGAACGCCTCTTGTTTTTTGTTTGTTTTTCCGCGGCGCGAGCATGTCAGGGAAGAGAGGTTTCCTCGCTTTCTGGGAAGGCCGCCACCCCTGGCGCCCTTTCCCCTCCCCCCACCCCGTAGCGCGCAGTCGTACCTCAGGGGTGACGGTGGGGGGGGGAGGTTCAGGGGGGGATGCATCGACCCCTTGTCGCCCTGATCGGCGACGCCAGTCGAAGAAATCCGCGCTAATATCTGGCAGTTTATGCTCATGCGGTTTTTTTGCTCCTCTGCTCATCAGGGGGGGGGGGGGGGGGCGGCAGGCCACACGGCGTCGGGCCTCCGTGCCGCGGGAACGTACGCCGCGGTCGGCAGAGGCTGCGGCTCCACGGGCAGCCGGGCAGGGTGACATCCCATGGGTAACGTTGGGGGGGGGTGTTGGCGGATGGGCTCAGGGCGGAGATGCATCGATCCCCAATCGGCCGTTGATCGGCGATAGGGGCCCGATAGCCCACCCCGCCCAGGGGCGTGAGGATTCGGTATTTGGGGCCTCTTTTCGGTCTCGGGGGCGCGTCGGCAACTTTTGAAGTCAATTTTGCCGAGGGCTGGCCGCGCGGAGTGAATGCGAGGGCGAGCCGACTGGCAACGACGGAGGACGCTAAGGTTACAGCAACTGCGGTCCCCAGGAGAGTTCTGTATTGATTCTTCTCACCCCAGATTTGCCCGTGGTTGCTCAAGCAGTTGTTGGCTCGACATGTTGCTCAAGGACCCACGAGTTCATATATGTCTGTGTATTCCTCCGATCCGGTCCCCTCCTGACGTGCCCCCTCACAGTGGCGCGCCGCCAGACACGCCGCGCCGCAGGACGGGGTCAAGCACACGGTGCAGACCGACCGCCTCAAGGGGCTCACCGCGACGGACGCCGACGCGGCCATCTCGCTGCTCACTGCGGCGGCCCCGGCCTGAGGGATCTTTTTTGTCGGCGCTGGCGAGCTTGCTCTTCAGCGCCGCGCGCGGAGTCCCTGCGAGGGGCGGCCCTCCGGCGGTGGACCTCCGGAGGCCCCCAGTGGGACTTTGCCAGGGAAGGCCTCTGGAGGGGAGGGGGTGGGTGATGAGAGGATGAACCCATACATGTGGTGTCTTGATTTTAGTTCTTGAGCGGGTGTCAGTGTCTGATGCTGTAACTGTCGTGGTTCGTGTTGTGAGTGCCTGGCTGGCACGTTAAACATCAACTACATGGTGTTGTTTCTGCTAGGTTCATGCCGTTCTCACTCATTCATCAGAGCCGTTTACTCACGCTTACTCTCACGTCAGCCGTTTTTCACTTTCAGATACGTTGCAAAGGAAGGCGTGCTGAACCATGTTAAAGTTTAGCTTATCGATGTTCAACCGTTGTAGTACGTTCGCCTGCTTAGCTAAAACCGTCAAACCTAAGCAAGGACGAGAACACGTAAGCAGGGCCGGCTTTTCCTGTCGACTCGATTTTGATGGTCCCAGGGGCCCGGCGAGGGCCCTCAGAGGCTGGATACACCCAAGGACGTTGAGTGTTTTTTTTTTTGGACGCAAGCATGTCTGGGAGGGGGTGTGACAAGATGAGAGGGGGATGGACGAGTGCTCATGGCGTTCCGCCTTTGGCCCGGTGCACAGCTGGGCGGGTGCGAGGCGGTCGCCCCAAGCCAGCGCCGGCTCCGGAAACCGCGCCCCATGCGGCTTCAGGGTATGGATTGGGGGGAGGAGGGCGAGTTTTTCCCGCGCTCACAGGCTGGGCGAGTGCCTCACGACCACCTGCGGACCCCCTCATTAGGCACCCTCCGCACCGCTTCCAGCGGTGGAAGGGGCTGAGGGGAGCGCAGCAATGCCGATGGACTCGAGGAATGCCAATTCCTCGGCCCTTGACAAAGCAACCACCTTCCCAGGCAGTCGCTCATTCTTCAAAGGGTGCTTGCCCGCCAACACACGGTTTCGGCGGGCCTTCGCGCTGTGTCTTCTCGGCTCCTTCGGACACGCCGTGAGCAGGCCACACGCACGACCACTAGAAAAGGCTCCACACTCCCGACAGAAAGTATAGTGGCCAACTCGGGACAGCTTATGTCGCCTCGGGCCCTCGGTAGGAGCCCCATCGACACGAGCCTTCTCCCTCCATCGACCCGGGACAATACAGCCTTCGCTTTGTCACTGAGCCCGCCTTGCACACTGAAAACATCTCTAGGAGCCTCGATGCCACTGGAGCGAATGCCGAGACTCGGGGGGGGATCTCAGCACACCTCGGGCGGGGCCTTGGAGGGAGGGAAGCATTCTGGGCGCGGCCAGTGGTATCATCAAAGTTGCCTATGCTACACGTTTTCATAGCACCAACCAAACCGAGCATGGAAGAGACATCCTTCGATCTGGCCACCCAGGTATCTGTGACATGCTGGGGAACAAGTCACATCCTCGCACCTGCTTTGGCTTGAAGGTCAGCCGCCTGATTTCCTAGGTAGTTGCACAGCTTGAGTCCCTCGAGTTGTGCTGCGTCTGCTTTCTTGGAGTGCGCTCGAACAGTGACGACGACGAGGTCCCCCTCCCCCCCAGAGGAGTCTTCGACCGCATTCCAGCTCATGTGCCAGAGGCCTGCCTGGGGGGTGTCTGGCCTGACGACACCACATCGGCCCCCGTCGAAATCCTCCGACCACGGTGGCATGATCAAATCCTGCCCGGAGTGGCGCCTTGCCGTGGCGCAACACATGCAGGAAACCAGAAAGCTCAGCCCTTGAGACGCTCAGGGCCTGGCGGGCCCCTGGGAGAGTAGCATGCATCGCTTTTTGGACATTGCCTTGGTCATCAACAAACGCATTAAGCCCCAACCGAACGCCTTGAGCCCCGGGACCCCCACACCAGATCCGTCCGAAAGGGCAAACCCAGACAGAACGGGGTCGTCCCCGAACTCGGGATCGAGGGCTTCGGCACTGGGCGTGACGTCCAGGAAGGGGTCTCCCAGCGGGTGGGGAACGATGGCCCCAGAGATGAGGCGAGAGGAGGGGTCCGAGGTGGCAGCACGATAGACGATCTCGGGGAACTCTTCTCCAGCAGCTGTGCGCTGCTCCTGAAACGCTGGGCACTGGCAAAAACGGTGATTCTGATTTCCTATCTCATGTCCGCATCTCTGGCAGCTGAGATCCTCCGAGTGGCCTGCCTTCCAGACTTTGTCCTGGTTCCAAAAATCACCGCCCAGGAAGGTCAACATCGCGGACTGCTTCTGTCCACGTCTCTTCTATTCGGAGCGAACAGCTACGCGACAAGGCTCGAGGAATGGCTTGGCAGGCCGCGGATTGTAGCCCACTCGGTGAGGTCCTGATCCTCGAGCCGAAGGTAGATCCACTTGCGGAGGCTGCTGGGCGCCGTTCGGCGCCTGTCCACCAGCTCTCCTGTGTGCAGCCGGAATGTGTGCCAGCAGGGCCGGGACAACCCCAGGCGCTTGAGCGTCAGGTTGCAGGCCGAGGCTGGTCCTCGGACCTGGCTCCAAGGGCGATCGAGCGGACGGCTGCGCCTAGCGGCTTCGATTGACATCTCTCGGCGACAAGCCCGAGCCATATCCAACTCATGGGTGCCCTTCCACGCCTGGGTGGCCTGCATGCCCAGCGGCTTCTGCGATGCTTCTACCACTGGGTCCACTTGATGAGTCCAGAGCCTCAAGACTCTGTCGCGCCCTGTGGCATTGCCACCAAGACTCCCCGAGATCATGACACGCATCCTGGCCAGGGCGACAGGAGAGACACCCAGGAAACTGGATCCGTAGGTCACCGAGGTAATCACTTCGTGTCTAACAACTCGGGACAGGCAGCCCTGCTTGGCGAGGGCTCTTAATTTCATCTTGCGCTTGATGGCATACTGACATGCTTCTGCATCTTCCTTCGACTCCTGACCACACCGTCTCCAGCGCTGTGCACTCAGAGCTGTGCGCTGGCTGGGGTGATGGCAAGACCCAGGTCCGTGGCCCAGGGCGAGCAATGTCTCCGAGCCACGGCCGAGGCGGCGAGGATGTACCCTTTCCTGCGGGCACCACGGGAGACAGGGATGCTCCAGGTACCTTCGATCTGGCGAACATAAAAGGTGACCGCAGCCTGCAGCGTAGAAAGACACTCGAGTGCACCACGCACTTGGATGCTGAGGTCATCGACAAAAAGCTTCATCTGGACTCGGGATCCCCATGCCTGATGGATGGCATCCGTTACCTGCAGCACAGCCATTTTGAGCGCGCGAGTACCTCCAATGGATCCTGCGACTACGGCCGAAAGAGTGCGAAGCGTGCGGCTGGCAAGCACCCCTCTGAAGGCGACCAGCCTCGTGAAGGTGTACATATACATATTCATTTACACATGCATACATATACACACATATTTATATATAGATATGCTAATGAGGAGCTTGGCCAGTTGCTGCGGGAAACCACAGCAGGGCCACTGTCCACAAGACTCATGGTGACATGCTCGAAAGCACGAAACGGATCCAGCACCCCCGTCGCCGACACCTCCCCCTCGCGCGTCCCTTCGGAGCCCCCTCCAGGGCCCCGAAGTCGTGTTCTCTTTCTGCAGAGCGCTCCAAATCGTGAAACAATCCCGAGTGAGCTCTCTCCACAGCTCTCATGAGGGTGGGGAGGAGGGCGAGGAGGGGGCCCTCGCGTCGCGAAAGACCTTCGACAGGTTTTGGAGAGCGCTTTCGGCCCCTGGGGGGCCCTCGCCAGGCCCCGGGACTGTCGGCAAACGAGTCGACCTTTGGGGCCCCCTGTTGTGAAACAGTCGCGACGTCGGGATCTGGGGGATGGAGGGGGGGGTCCCCGAAGTCGCTCCCAGCGCCGCGCCCCTCGGGGCGGTACGGCCCCGTGCAGTGCGCGAGCATCGCAGCGCAGGCCGTGGCGGCAGCGGCTGCGGCCCCCGCCGGGGCTCTGGCTCCCCTCGCCAGGGGCCGGCGAGAGCGCCGGCCCAGCTCGGCGCCCGGCTGCCGGAGGCACGGCGCCTATGAGTGCCCGGCACCTGCGGCGCCAAGGGGGTGCTGCTGCAGCCGCCGAGCGTTGATTCTCGGCAAGCGCGCGCAGCCCTCACAGCTCACCCCGGAGGGCCCAGACCTCCCAACGTGTCGAGAGCCCCACCGCGCACATGGTTCACAGTGTTTGCCGCCACCCACTAGGCCACCCCAACCCAACCCGAAGGCTTCAATCTGCCCTCCACTTCTAGTGGGGGGGGGTCGGGGAACACGGCAAAACCACATGGAACCCGTACCCCTCCAACTCGAAATTCACGTCAAATTCGGGTCTTCGGGTTGGGTCGGGGTGGTCTGGCAGGTAGTCATTTCGTTGGCCTCATCCCGATCGCATAGGGGGGCCTTTTTCAAAGGTGCCGATGCTGCATCATCTTCCCCCGCTCCCGCCTTGCTGGGCCTTCCGGGAGGCCCTTGTCGCCACGATTGGATCCAGCCCGAAAGTTTGGTCAGAGCGCACCTTGGGAGAAGTCCGAGGAGAGCTGGAGGAGAAAGAGCGGGAGAAACATACGCTTCCGGAGGCCCTCACAGGTTTTTTGGATCGGCGCTGGCGGTGCCCCTGGCGCTTTGCGCGCGCCAGGGAGGGAGGGGGGGATGGATCAGCGCAGATCCAAGAAATCCGCGCGGACCTGCGACAGTTTGTGTTCCTGTAGCTATCATTACTCCACTCGCCAGCCCGTAGTGGTTGACCCTACAGGTATTCTCCCGTGAGCCTCGTCGAGCACGAGGGCGATAGGGATTCCTGAATACACGTGTTGTCCACTCCTCCTTGGTTGTCCACCACGGTTGCAGGTCCCGATCCCTCGGGGGACGCCGCATGCATGGAAACTGGAAGTGTGTGGTCCAGGCTGGCCCTTCTCGCTCTTCCTCGGTCCTGGCCTGTGTTTTCCCCAGCCTGAGCATTTTGTTGATTGCAGTCTTCGGACTCCAGTACTGGTTCTTCTTGCTTCACCGCTTCTGCGCCCTGGTAGCGCCCGCGGGTACGCCCTGGCCCTGGCCCGGGCTGCTGCCGCGACCCCGATGCCCTGGCTGGCCGCTCTGGCCCGCTCACCGCCGAATTCTTCCGCGTCTGAGCGCCTACCTTCATTTCCCCCCGCGCGGCCCTCTCTCTTCTCTCTCTCGTTTTCGTGCACGCCGGACAATTTGCCGATTGGTGCCCCCGATTAGCCCGACGCTGGTGCGGATCGCCTCCGCCTCGCCGCCGCCGAACAAAAGCAGCCTGCCTGGCCCAGAGCTTCTGCGGACTCGTTCCGGCTCTGGCCACACTTCTTCCTGCCTTGGCCACTCCCGCTCATTTTGCAATTCTCACCGTTGGCCTTGTTCCAGATTTCTTGCGTACGCGTGCACATTGAGCGGGCCATGCCCGTCTTGGAGCATGCAGCGATCACAGGGCATGCCTGTGCATGCAGCGACCCTGGGCGCTGCCCATCCTGCGCGCAAGACCGGCGGGTACGCCCCCCTGGCCTGGGCCTGGAAGGCGTGTGTGTACTTGTCCTGGGGCCCACATGTGCCTGGCCTGGCCAGGATCGGCCTGCACGGACAGCTGGCGTCCCCCGTGCGTCTCCGAACCTCCTTTGCCATTGTTTTTTAGACGAGTATGCGTAGAGACAGTGCTAAACTGTGTGAGCGTCCTGTGGCATCATCAGGTTTATTGTATGTTGCACGTGACAGCTGATTGATGCCCGTGAGTTTGTTTTCAGGTTTGCAGCGATGTAGTCCGACAAACTTGACGCGTTCATTGACGTCGAGCCAGGTTGCATCACTGGAAGTACCCTTGGTCAGGCCGCCGAATTGATCCGTGCTCTTCGTATGATGTTTCATTCCTGTCCGACCGACACCCCCAAGTGTAGCTGGCTTGTAGGATCTTTCCAGGATTCGATCGGGCCGCAGGGGGCCAAAATCCAAATAGTTCGATTCCCATATCACCCTCTTCGATAAAACACGAGGGTTGGGTCACCGTGTGGTGCTTGCGGCCATAAGCGATTACGGATGCGTTGCGGTTTTCGCGTTCAATACAATTGACGAGGTTTGTTAAGTTTCCTCGTGTGGCGGCCCACTCCCGTACGTCCAAAAATCGAATAGCGCGTGTATGGGGGGGTGGTTGCCCATCGCCAGGAGCACCCAAGTAGGTTGAAACCCGCTCTGTGCGAACCGTCCCGCGTGGTGGTATCCAGTTGCGTCATCTGTAACCAACACAAGCCCAAAATAATCTGCCCTCTCCATCCTCCATCCCCGCGTCCTCATTTTCGTCCTCTTCCTCTTCTGTCCTCCTTCCCCCTCCTCCCCATCCTCTTCCGTTGTCCTCCGTCTTCCTCCTCCTTTTCCTCCTCACTTCTCTTCTTGTTCTATTCCTCCCCATCCTCTCCGCCTCCATCCTCTTCTTGTGCTCCTCTCTTTCTCCTCCTCCGCCTCCTCCATCTCCTCCTCCTCATTATTTCTTCTCCCTCATCGTCCTCCTCCTCCTCTTCCTCCTCCGCCTCCCTTCCCTCCGTCCTCCTCCTCCTGTTTTCTGCCTTTACGAGATGGGCGTTCGCGCCGCCGCTGCTCCTTGGCGGCGCGACCGCGCCTGGCGGCGCGACCGCGCCTTGCGCTCGCAACGCGAAGCGCGCGCGCTCGACACTTTCAAGTCTGCCCCGTCGACCCCCGCCGTCGCCTCGGGAGCCTCGTTCCCGACGGGGGGGAGGGAGGGTACTGGAGGGAAGGAGGAGGGAGGGCACGGGAGGGAAGGATGATGATGATGATGATCATGATGATGATGATGATGATGATGATGATGATGACGATGATGATGATGATGATGATGATGATGATGATGATGATGATGATGATGATGATGATGGTGATGATGATGATGATGATGATGATGCTGATGATGATGATGATGATGATGATGATGACGATGATGATGATGATGATGATGATGATGATGATGATGATGATGATGATGTAGAGGGGGAACGAGCTGAGGGTGTTGGTGATGATTCTGCTTATGACCTCGACGACGATGACGATGGCGATGGCAATGGCGATGATGATGCTGCTGCTGCTGCTGATGATGATGATGCGGATAATTATAATGATGACGATGCTGTTGATGATGATGCTGATGATGCTGATGATGACGATGCTAATGGTGAGGATGATGACGGGGAGGATGATGCTGCTGATGATGATGGTGGTGGTGGTGATGGTGATGATGATGGCGGTGGTGCTGATGATGATGAGTATGGAGAGCGTGGTGATGGTGATGATGATTACGAGGGCGACCATGATGATGACGATGGTGTTGGTGCTGCTGATGATGGTGATGATGATGATGCTGATGATGATGATGATGATGATGCTGCTGCTGCTGCTGATTGTGATGCTGATAATGATGATGATGATGATGATGATGATGATGATGATGATGATGATGATGATGATGATGATGATGATGCTGATGATGATGCTGATGATGATGATGATGATGACGACGATGATGATGATGATGATGATGATGATGATGGTGGTGGTGGTGGTGGTGGTGGTGATGATGATGATGATGATGATGATGGTCATGGGAGTGCGGGGCACAGTAATGATCTAGCAGAGGCGCAGTTGTGCCGATCCCCTCAATATATCTATCGCCACTATGGGTCAAGCTGCTCATGAGCGGCTCGGCCCCTGCCCGGCGCGGCGCGCGGCGCTGTCTGCGGCGGCGATGCCGCGGCCTGTGCCTGCCGCGGGCTCGCGGCTGACGGACGAGCAGCGCCCGACGCCGCCAACTGCGCCGCCGCCAGCTCACATGCGGCGTGCCTCGCGTGGTCGCTCGCGACTGGGCGCCGCGGCAGGCGAGTTTGATGGGGAGCCCGCGACCGCGGCGCCGGTCGTCGCTGCTGGGGTCATGGTGACTCGGCTGCGCAAGGGAAAATCCTGAGGTGCTGGCGCTCCGTCGCGCTGGCGGCTCCGACTCTGCGTGGGAGTTCCCCGAAGGGCCGGCTGGAGCCGGCGGGCGGCAGCAAATTGGGCTGCGCGTTCCGCGAGCTCGCCGAGGAGTCGGGGCTGCAGCTCGAGGTGCCTTCTGCTGGGCGCGTGAAGCTGGGCGTGGACGCCTACTCCGCGGGGCGCGGGCGGCGCGGCGGCCCTGGTGCGCTCAAGGAGGTGCGTTGGTACCGCCATCGGGCGGCCGCTGGCGACGAAGGCCCTTGGGGCCCTCGCGAGGCGCGGACTCGTGAAGTGCGCTTCGTGACGAAACGCGAGCTGCCGGCGGGCACGGTGAAGGTTCCCGTTGTGCGCCGATCGAGGAGGCGCTGAAGCCGGCGAAGCCGAAGGAGCTCGAGCTGCAGCCGAAGCGTCGGTTGCCGGCCGACGAGGCGACGGAGCCCGAGGCTAGGGCGAGGCCGAAGCGGAAGGCGCCCCGCGGCAGCGCGGGCTGGGGGGCGCCTCCCGCGGCGCCGCTGCCGCCACCGCCGCCGCCGCCGCCCGTGACTGCGCCCGCCCCGCCTCCAGCGTCGGCGCCGGAGCCGCCGGCGCCCGCGCCCCCGCCGGCGGCCCCGCCAGAAACAGCGGCTCCGTCGGGATCGCCAGGGGCCGCTGCCGCCCTGGCGCGGCGGAGGCTCTCCGAGCCCAGCGGGGGAGGCGGAAGAGGCGAGACCGGCAGGCCGCGCCCGCCGTCGCCGCAAGCGCCCGCCCAGCCGCAAGGGCGGAGCGGGTGGCCCAGCAGGGGCTGGGCCGGCGCAAGCGTCCGAGGGCCGCCAGCGACGACGGCGAGGAAGCCGCGGACGCCGAGTCCAGCGTGCCGACGCTGCTGGACGAGGTTGAGGCGGAGCCGCCGCGGTGCGCGGCTTGCGAGGCTGGGCGAGACGCGGCGGCTGCAGGGGCTCGAGCCCGGGGCCGCGGTGGCCGGGGGCCCGATACCCTGGCAGGGGCTCCATGACTAGCGACCCAGGTGGGGGGGGGTCGCCCGCCCCCTCCGCCGCGATGCATGGGGCGTGGAGGCGCCTGGCCTTCAGATGACTCGCGGGACGTCTCCCCGCCGCCGCATGGCCGCCTCGGCCGGCTTCTGATTGGGGGCCGGGGCCGCTCGCTCGAGGCACAGCGCGACGACGCTCTCGCTGCCTTGAATTGCGGGGCCGCCGCCGTGGAGGGGATGGCAGGGCGCGGCGCCGCGGCCGCCCGCGCTGAAGGGCCCCTGGAGAGGGCGCAGCCGGCGCTGGATGACGAACCCGCCCCATCGCCTCGAGAGGCGTTCCGCGACCTTCTACAGGGGCGAGCCGCGTGCGAATGCGAGCCCTTCAGCCGGGCGCTTGCACCCTGCCGTCGCGAAGCGGTGTCGCTACCCGAGTCGGTCGCCGAGCGTGGCCTCTTCGCAGAGATGCGCGACGCCTGCAGGCATTTTAAGGACGGGAATGGCCGACGAATGTCTCGATTGGCGGAATATAGACAGCGGTTAGTGCATGACAGCCCCGTGACTCCATGCGCGGATCCTGGCTTGAGCCGCAGCCGGCGGCGGTGCGCCGACTTCAGCACCTGCCTGCGGCAGCGTGAGCTTGTGAGGTTCGGCCGAAGCTGCGTTGAGCGGACAGGGCTGTTCTTTGTTTGGAAGAAGGCGCTTGAAGATGCGCGTGATTCTGGGCTGCAGAAGGTGCAATCAGTAGTTTTGAAGGCGCCGCGCGTTGAGCTGCTCGCGGCTGAGGGGCTTGCGGGGGCCGAGGCCGAGGGTTTCGAGGGCGGCGAGGTGCCCGTATTCACGGGCGTTGCCGACGTGAATGACGCGTTCCAGAGGTTGATCATGCCAGAGTGGCTCTCTCGATATCTTGGCCTGCCCGACGCGCTGGCCGAGGGCGTCGGCGTGGTCGGCCAGGTGGTCGACGGGGCCGTCGCCGTTGCAGGAGGTATGATCGCGCCTTTGGCGCGGGCGCTGCCCGCGGGTTTCGCCTGGAGTCTCTTCTTCTGCCGGCGGATGGGCGGGGGTCCTTGCCGGCGGGTGCCCGCGCCCCGCGCCTCGGTGCCGCTGAGGGGCCGCGGTCGGCCCGCCGTTCTCGTCCTGAGTAACTAACGGTCTGCGCGGGCTCATGTATTAGGCGCGCGTGGACAACCTGAGGATGATGTGCGATAGTCGCTCGGAGGTGGAGCGCGCGCTCGCTGGCGCGGTGAAGTTCTTCGAGGGCTTCGGCCCACTGGTGCGCGGAGAAGAGGTGAGGGGCGACGCCGCGGAGGCGCTCGGGGTTGTCCTCGACGGAGAGTTGCAGCGCACCGTGCTGACGAAGAAGCGGCACTGGCGGCTGCGCTCCGCGCTCCGACACCTTGAACCGCGGGGGGGCCAGCGGGGCAATGGTGGGGGTCATCTTGGGGCGCTGCGCCCTCTGCGGCCTGGTGCGGCGACCCCTCCTGATGTGCTTCCATTCGGTGTGCAAGTTCATCTCCTTGAATCGCTCGGTTCAGCAGCCGCCGTGGCCGTCCGTGAGGGGCGAGCCGCGGGCTTTTTTCGGGCTGATGCCCTTCTTGTGCCCGGACTGGTGGCCGAGGTGGAATCGACTGGTGAGCGCCAGTGACGCTGCCGCAGTGCCAACCGAGGCTTCACACCTCGCAACTGCCGCTCGCACTGGTCGATCGTGGCTCGCATTCCTGTCGGGGTCCAAGAAGCCCCTGCGCACTGGAAAGGCACTCTACACGTTGGCTCGACCTCCGACTTCCTGGGCCTGGGCTGGCTTCTTGATCTGCTGCGCCCGTAACCCCCATTCACGTAGAGCACTGGTCAGTTGCTTGTGCGCCCGCGCTCCGGACCTTCCGGCGTAGACGCCCCTGGCGAGGCTCTCCGGGGGCCTGCAGGGCTCCCGGCTTATCATGATGATGGTTATACGGGTATTCGTTTCAAATTCAAGGAATTCTCCCTGCGTCTCCGAGCCCGCGGGCTCGCTCGAGGCAGCCGACCTCGCTGCTTCCTCCGGGCTGTCCATCGTCGCGCCAATGAGGAAGCCCGTCTTAGGTTTTCCACCGCCGGCCGCACCTGCTGCACCACGAGCGTCTGGTGGGTTGGAGCATTCCTTGGCCCAATGGCCCACTTGGCCACGCCGTGCGCACTTGGTCCGCAGCTTGATCACGTCAATGTGCACCCTGACCTTGCGCCCCTGGCCGTCCTCGTAGCGCATGCTGGCTCCGAAACGTGCCGCGGGTGGCGGCTGGGCCCCATCTTTTCTCCCTGTGCGCCCTTGCCGCCGAACCTACCACCGCCATTGTAATAGCTACGGTCGTTCTTCTCGAGGTTGAGGGACTGGCGAACCGCCTAATATGATGCAAGGGCCGTCGTGACGTCTGCTTCGTTGTGCACCTCCCACACGTCATCTTCCATGACGTAAATGTGATCTGGGTCGTCGTCGTCGTCGTCGTCCACCCCTGAGTTCATGACCGGGTAGCTCTCCTCGTCGCTGCACTGATATTCTTCGCCGTCGGCGAAGAATTGCCTGTCGCCCCTGTCGACCGTGACCTTGTCCAGCTTGCGCAGTGCCTTGATCACCTCGGTCTCAGTGAAGCTACCGGCCGTCCACGTCTTGATCATGTGTTCACCCTTGTCGCCCATAGTGGCGTGCCTCATCATGATGTAGCCTCGTGCTTCGGGCGGTAAGTTGTCTCCTTTTACGCTTCAGCTCATTGACCCGATTCACCGCTGCCAAGGTGTAGTCCAACATGCTCCCACGAAAGCCCGTGTACACCGCCTCCCCGAACGCACGCACCATCGTCTGCTCTAGGTACGGGGCGAACGCCTCGTCGAGGATTGTCAAAATGTTGTCCAGGCCGCTTTCACCGATGATGTCCTCGGGCTCCATGTCAGAGATCTCCTCCTTGGCCGTGCCCGAGGGACGCCTGCATAGCTTTGCTCCCCATTTCGCCTTCAGAATGTCCGTCGTGCTCCTCCACGCAGTCAGTTCCTTCTTCCACCGCTTATACTTTACGTCGGGGTCCGATCCATCACATTCTGTAGGCGGCTCTCGGTCCCTGCCGCGGCTCTCGGTCCCTGCCGCCGCCGCCACGCTGATCTCCAGCTCCGTTCTCGTCGTCACCCATCGGGTAGGGACGTCTCGTGAACCGTCACTCGCTCTGCTGCCACTGAAAGACTCGAAGATGCTGACCTCCTTTCCAGCACGTGTCGCTCAGGTGTCTCAAGTTGCACCGCACACGTCACTGAACAGCGCACGATAAGAAAGGCGGGAGACGGGAGGAGATGCAGTATGTTACGGGGTGGTAACAAACGGGGCAAGCCAACCCGGGCCTGAAGCGGGTATGGCTGGGCGGGCGTGGGCATGTGGAGAGCTGAAGGGAAGCGCACAGAGCACATGCGTCGCCAGAAATCTACAGTGGCGGTCGCAGCGCACCCCCGCCTCGACGTGCCCCACCCCTCCCAAGCGTTACAGCCACCTGGGAGCCCAAATCCCCCAAGGCAGCGACCGTCCCCGGAAACGATCACAGCACAATCCCGAGGGGGGTCTGGGCGGGCAGCGCCTTCACTGCACCAGGCGCCCCCGCCGTCTCGAAGCCCTGCCCTTCCGCGGCGCAGCTCGCGCGCGGGCGGCTCGCGCTGCCCCCGTGCGCCGACGGTCTGGGGCCAGTGCTGAGCGAAGCAGCGCGGTGGCGGGATGTGATCGCCACACCGCCAGCCCCCAACTCCAGGTCAGGGCTGGAAGCGTCACGTTACGTCAGCGTGTCGCTCCGCCGGTGATGGCCCACCGCGCTTCGGCGCGAGACGCTATATATCTCCACGTCGCGTTCGCCAAGCTTGAGGGTCCCATCCCGACCCTCTCGCCCTGCAGAGTGGAACCACGTGCCATCCGCTTGCAGGGCATAGCTTGTCGCCGGGGTGCCGCCGTGGCGACACGCTAAGCGAACATTCACGACCGTGGGGCGCATCTCTTGGGAGGTTAAGAATTCAGCATCGGCGCCGCTTTATCCTTGGCTGTATCCAGCCGGATTCTGGTTAATCTTGCATAATATGGCTTAGCGTCGCTTACAGCGGCTTTATCTGTTTGAATCCTGGTCTTACTCTGGCTCGACCCCTCATATTTGTTCTTGACTCGGGCATCGTAGTCCGTAACCGTTCTTACGAAGACCTCCCAGGAAGTGCCCTCTAATCCAGAACTCTGACGTCGTTATCTTGTCAATGCGGGTTCCCCAGAAGTCCGAGACCATTCCCCCAGGGACCGTTTTTTCTTCTCATCCCGAGCAGTTCTGGCGCCCCCCGGCCCCGAGACCGCCCCCCCCCATAGGTCCGAAGCGACGAGACGCCTCCGCCCCGATCTCTTCAAGACGTCTCGGTGCCCGGGGCCTGCTGGACGCAGCGCCGCCGACTCCCGGCCTGCGCGCCCCGCGCGCCCCTCCCGGTTGGGCGGGGCCTGCACGGCGGCCCTGGCGCCATCGCCGCCGGGCAGCAGGCTCGGCCCCTGTGAGCGGCCGGGGGGCGTCCGAGGGCCGTCGGGGCGTCCGAGGGGGTGGCAGACGTCCAGCGCCTCGAGGAAGTCCAAGGTGACCAACGTGGGGGGTCGGAGGCGTCCAGGGAGGGGGTCGCAGATGTCCAACGAGCGGGCCGCAGATGTCCTGGAAAGTCCAAGGTGACCAACGTGGGGGGTCGGAGGCGTCCAGGGAGGGGGTCGCAGATGTCCAACGAGCGGGCCGCAGATGTCCCAGGGTCTCGTAGATGTCTCACAAGGGGGTCGCAGATGTCCAAGGACGTACGTGATTTCCTTTTTCGTTTTTCGGGCTCAGGGGGCCCTCGCCGGGCCCTGGGATCGTAAACAACAAAACGACTCAGGATTAAAAGGCGGCCCTGGGGAAAGTGTCGGGGCTTCCAGAGGCCCCGTGTTGAAAAGATCAGGACATCGGGTGTCGGGCTTGGGCGCCGGGGGGGTGGCGGGGTGGCCTTCGAGCAGGCGGGGGGGGGACCCTTAGAAGGCAAGGCCTTCTTAGAAGGGCCCAGAGGCTTCCAAGAACCCCTGCTTCGAGGCCTCCGCGCCCTTCTGAGGCCCGCGTCTTCTTGGAGCGCCGCCCCCCCTCGCGCCGCCGTTGGAAGTCGCGACCCCGTCCCCCCAGGGGGCCGCTTCTCCACCCCGAGCCGCTCTTCGCAAGAGTGAAAGCCATGAGAGAGAGAGAGAGAGAGAGAGAGAGAGAGAGAGGAGAGAGGAGGAGAGAGGAGGAGGAGGAGGAGGAGGGGAGGAGGAGGAGGAGGAGGAGGAGAGGAGGAGGAGGAGGAGGAGGAGGAGAGGAGGAGGAGAGGAGGAGGAGGAGGAGGAGGAGGAGAGGAGGAGGCGGAGGCGGAGGAGAGGAGGAGGAGGAGGAGGAGGAGGAGGAGGAGGAGGAGGAGGAGGAGGAGGCTTGCCGCGGGGCCCGGCGAGGGGGGCCCCCACGGAGGCCGAAAGCGGCCCAGAGCTCCCGCCCTCCGGGGGTCACCCGCGGGGGCGCGAAGACCTCGCGCGAAGATCTCGCCGAGGTCCGGGCGGTCCACGACGCGCCCAAGGAGGCCCCAAGGAGGCCCCCAACCCTGACCTTCCAGAGAGCTATTTTTTAGCACCGGAGACCTAAGAACCTAAAACGCTGAGCGAGACTGCCTGAAACCAAGACGTAGAGTAGCTCTAGGATAGGTTTTAAGGTCGGGTGCTATTTTTTAGCCCTCCTGGAAGGTCAGGGAAGGAGGCCCCCCAAGGAGGCTTCCAAGAGACCCCCAAGAGGCCCCATGGATGCACGAGGCCTCAGAGCGACTGGGCTGTGATTGCGTGGTCCGGGCGTGCACCCCGCGAGGCTAGAGGAACCGCGCTTCGCTCCTCGCGGTCTGGGCCAGGGCGGCTGCCTGCCTCGAAGAGGGTGGCGCGGGGGCGCACGGGCGCGAGGATCGTCGCGCGTCGCGCACCGCGGGGCGCGGTGTACGGAGTTTGGGGTTCTTCGACCACTTGCAGACCCTCCCCCGACGGGTTCGATCGACTCTGGGGTGTCGGGCACCCTCGCTGGGGTTCGCTTGGCTACAGACCCTTCAAGTCATGAGCCCCAGCCTGTTTTTCAGACGTCTGACCTGCAGGGTATGTAGGGGTCAACGTGTGGTTGCCTAGAGGTGACCCAGGCCCTGACTTTCTGGAGACGTTGGGCGCGTGGCGCTCGCCTCATTTCGGATGCAATTCCTGGGAGGTTGAATTCGGCGTCGGCGCTGCTATACCCGTGATCGAGGGCAGGCCTAATCCGGCCAAATTCCGTTGCATTTCGCTTAATCTTGCCTGATCTGGCGTAATCTGTTTGGCTTGCTCCCGGGCTTCGTCCAGCCTGATCCGACCCAATGGTCTCTGAATCGGGCTTCACAGCTAGCCCACTTAGTCGCTCTGCCGAAGACTCCCCCAGGAGTTGCCTCCCAGGGCCCCGACCCTCTCCAGACGTTGGGCGCCCGGGGCGCGCCGCCATCCCGAGGGGCACGGCGGAGAGGAGATCGGCGCGACCGGGGGCGCGGCGCGGGCGCGCGTGCGCTTGCGGGAGGCGGCCGGCGGTGGCGGGCGCGCAGAAGTCGCGAGGCCGCCCTCCCAGAAGGCCCCCGCTCGTCGGCCCGGCGACGGCGCCAACAGCCGCCACACGCCGAGGCGACCGCGTAGGCGCGTCGAGGAGTGCCGCTTTGGAGTGGCGGCCCCAGCTTCTAGGCGGCTGGCCTCCCAGGTGGGGTCATTGTCGGAGGATCGCGCCGCATCGTGGCTGCACGGTCGAGACGGCGCGACGTGGGGGCCGTTTCTCCACACCGACGTCGCCGACGCATGGCCGACGATGCCGACGCATCGGCGATGCATCGGTGATGCGGCGCGATCCTCCGGCCCTATCTACTCGGACCCCATGTGGGAGGCCTCCATCCTGAGGCGGTCCCAGCTTCCAGTAGGTGCGGGTTTCAACGCCTCGCGCCCCCCACTTGGAACTCTTCCTCCTCCTCCTCGCCTCCTCCTCCTCCTCCTCCTCCTTGTTCTTCTTCTTCTTCTTCTTCTTCTTCTCCTCCTCCTCGTCCTCCTCCTCCTCCTGAGCCCCAGACTGGGACACGCTCGCTGCGCCCTGGAGGGTTCTTTCGGACGCACCCCTATCGAGGATGGACGCCCCCCCATCGTATATCCCAGGGTTGGGCCCCAAATTGCTGGTCCATTCGAAAACCCCGCGAAGCCGGGGATAGGGGTCGACATCTCCCCTGTTAGAACATGTCGATGCCGATGCCCCTTGTGTCGTTTCTGCCTCTTGGGGCATCCGGGCATCCGGAGGGGCCCTCGTTGCACTAGCTGGCGCCTTGGAGTCATGGTCAGAGGCGTACCCCAGGCGAGCTCCAGGATGCAGCGGTCTCGGCAGCAAGTTCCTTATAGCCCCCGATCAACACCCCCTCGCCCCCCTCCCCATTCTCTTCCCTATCGCAACCTGGCTGCCAGTTCTCAAGCTACTGCTTGTATGAAGGTATGAGGTGGCGTGCCCGGGACAGCGAGCCCGCCGAGCAGAACGGGCGATCGATCGGGTGGAGCGGACGCACCATCCAACCACGGAAGGTGCCCTTCCCTTTCAGCCCTGTCTCTTTTTTCGTTTCCTCCCCTTCCGCCTGCTTCAGTTCGCCGCCACCTGCTGCTGCCACTGCTCCTCGTCCCCCATCTTCCTCGACCTCCGACCGTTCAAGCATTTGGGCCGACAAGAGGAGGATGAGGGGGGGGAGGATGACGAGGAGGGAGGAGAGGGGGAGGGGGCTTGCCAGGTGCGCTCGCTCCATATCTGACATCCTACCCCTCCCACCCATCCCTTCCCAGGTCAGGTCAGGTGAGCCTTGCACCAGACGGTGCGTGAGCAGGGTGAGACCTAAGATGCGGCCCAGCGGTTGGATGCCTTCAGCATCCGAGCCAGCCTTTGACGGCCTGGTCCCACGTGCAAGCTGCGCCTCCCTCTGGGCAGAAGTAGGCAGCAAGTCGCTCGTGCGAGCCAGCGACTTTCAGATAATTGTTCCAGACCGAATTTCCCCACGTCTGTCGCGGTCTGCCTCGCCTTCTGGGGCCTGCGGCTTTACGGGCGACCAGCGAGTCCGTCTCGAACACTGAACTTTGACAGGGTGTTTGCCGCCTGGCGAGGCAGTCGCTCAATTTGGATTGGTTCGATATGCTCAAGACAGTGGCATGGGACACCCGGCTGTTGAATGATGGTTGTATCCAGGAAAGTTGTCCAATCTACGTCGCTTTGCCTTGTTCAGGCATGCCGCAAACAGTACGTACATCAATTTCCACACCACACGCGCGTTGAATATCTTTACCTTCTTTTTCCCCCTAAGACAGAATGAGACCACATAGCGTGCAATGTCTGAAAATCACGCTTTGCACTTCTAAACCTCCTGCTCAGTTCAGCGCCCATTCTACCATCTGCAGAAGTATATGTATCCAAGAAAATCAGCGTTCCTTGCTGACGACGGGCTGGCCCAAGTTATTCACCACGTTCGTGTTGGTCCAGACATCATTGCTTCAACCTTTTTCCACTGAAATTGCAGTCCATAGTGCGCCCCGCAGCTCTCGGCGCAGCACATGAGTTCCTGGATCACTTCAGAGCTTCTGCCGATTAGGGGCGTGCCGTCTGCATGCATCAAGTCTATCACTACCCCACTCGGCACTTCCCGACTTTCTCACTACTAAGCCGACTCGGCTTCGCATCTCTCGATAAGCATCGTGAAGTAAGGTTGTCATACAAGTGTGAAGAGGAATGGAGATAGGAGACAGCCCTGACAACTTCCATAATGCCGCTTCCTCTCTCCAGATGTAGCGCCAGAATCTGACGCAGAGAAGACGCGATCGTCGTCGACGCTGGGGACCGTGTGCCCGAACTTCTCAGGGCAACCAAACCTCCGCAACGCGTTGACCAACGACTCTGGAGAAACCGAGTCGAACGCCTTCGCACAGTCAAGAGCCACAAAGATACTCTTTCCATCCCTTGCCACTGCGCTGGTTGTTCTCTTTCCGCCGATGCGTGTCATGGGGGACCTGGAACTCCAAAAATGACCCCTTGTCGTGTTATGCGCAATCGAAGCTGGGGAGCTGCGTACACTGGAGGACGAGGAGGCAAATGACCAGGAGGAGGATGCACAGAGATCAACAAGGACGAGCAGCATCAGGAGCTGGAGTGGAAGGAGCGGGAGGAGCAGTAGGACTACGGGAAGGCGGAGGAGGGGAAAGTAGGGGACGTCAACGATGAGGGACGACTCGGATCCAGAAAAGTGGCCCGCGTCTGGGCGAGAGCGCCATTCTGAACGACTGGAGCAAAGCGCCGATTCAAAATGAGGCCCTCGCTGCAGCGGGAGCACCGTTTTGAAACACGGAGGACGTTCCGATTGAACACCAGGAGAGGGCGGGAAATCGTCTGCACAGAGCCACGGCAGACGGGAGAGCAGGATTCAGACTGAGTCGTTGTGGAGGGGGGGATCCATCATGGGGGACAGTGGAGGAGGCGTGCCCAGACCTGCCGAATCGGGAGGAGACTGGGAATTTCTCCATGCAGGAATGGTCCTGTCGAGGGAGGTGGGGATCCTGCCCCCTCTCGACCTCTGACGATCGGATACTTTCGAGTCGCTGGTCCCGACGTCGGGACCCTTCCACGGATCAGCGCTTTCCTAGGTCGTTTTTGTTGACGGTCTTGGGGCCCAGAGCAAATTGCTTCAGAAGCCGAAGGCGGCGAGAAACTTCTGGTGCGGTTCGTTCGGCACGTTGGAGGTTTGGGCCTACCGCTGCCCCCCTCGAGCCCCTCGCACCTGCGAGCGCGGCCTCGCAAGCAGTGCTGGCCGATGAAGATCTGAACGTGTGTAGCCTTCCTGGTTTCGATCCGCATTCTCGGAGTCTTTCCATGCTCCCGCGAAGCAAACACGGTGGAGAGGGATTGTCCAGGGGTGATGGAGATGTCGGAATCCGGGTGGGGTCGTCCCGGGTGGTCCTCAGACGAAACCGTTCGAAGTGTGGGTCTTCCAACGAGCACGCCGCCTCAGCTTCACCAGCCGGGTTTTGGTCAGCGTAAGATCAAATGACCACTGCTTACCCAGCGCTTGCCATGCGGCGTCAGGCAGTCCGTTTCCCATTGTACAGTGAACCAAATGTTGGTGCTGCAATCCCGTGCGAGGCAGAGTTTTTCTGACGATGCTTCCCCCGCCGGTCTGGGCATTGGGTCCCGACTCGTGGTGCACGACGCCTTTGGGGCCTAGACTGAGCCATCGCTCAGGAGGCTTTCTCGTGCAGCTCGAGAGGGTGCCGTGTCGGATGTCGCGCCCGTGCTGCGCTTCGTCTTAACCGCCAGGGGGCTACCCATCCGCTGGGGGCCAACCTCGCCTCGTCGGCGCATTGCATAGGCTCGTTTCGCACGAGGTTCGAGGTTTTTGGTCGTTCTCGTCGCGTCTCGGCGTTCTTTCTGACTCGAGATGCTCCCCAGCTCGAGTAGGAGATCAACTGCCGAACTGGTTTATCCCCAGATTGAAACTTCCGTCGGATCTACGAAGGTACGTATACGTTTCGGACGAATATCAACATTATACGTCGTTTCATGTATATCGATGGAAACATGCTGGGGTACATCAATTATGTAGTCGATCTTCTACTCGAGATATGCCGCGCCTCGCCGAGGGCGCTCCGGAGGGGCCTCGGATTCGAGCAGCCGCGGGCGGCCCAGGCTGTGGCCCGAAGTTCACCAGGGCGCCTTCGGCGCGCGGTGTTCTTGCCCGCCGCGGGGGTCGGCGTGTGGGGTTTCGAGGGGGGCGCCTCCCCGTCTCGCGCAAGGGTGAGGCATGGTTCTGCTCTTCACTCTTCGCGTATTTTCACAGGGACGTGGACCCTTGGTTACCCGCACACGCACACGCACACGCACACGCACACACACGCACACGCACACACACACGCACACGCACAACACAACTCACAGTTACACAGTTACACACTTACACACTTACACACTTACACACTTACACACTTACACACTTACACACTTACACACTTACACACACTTACACCCTTACACACGTACACGCACGCACACACACACACCACACACCACACACCACACACCACACACCACACACCACACACCACACACCACACACCACACACCACACACACACACACACACCACACACCACACACACAGAGAACCAAAGCGGGCAACCATGGTGGACAGAGAGATCTCTCGGAGCCGGGGTGGGGCCCCGGAGGGCCTCTTCGGCCCATCCCTGGGGGCGGGGCCCGCGTGGGGGCGAATGGGGGGAGGATGAGGATGAGGATGAGGAGGATGAGGAGGAGGGAGGAGGAGGAGGAGGAGGAGAAGGAGGAGGAGGAGGAGGAGGAGGAGGAGGAGGCCCCAGAGGGGGTACCTCGGTGCGTGGGCGGCGCATCGGGGCCCCTGGGGTGCATTGAAATCCGCCTAGACGTCGCTTGCGGCGCCGCGGGCTAGGGGGTCGGTGCCCTGTCGGGCCTGGGGCGGCACCCCTGGACCAACTGGGATGGTCCCCCAATGTGGCCAGGGCTGCCGTGTCAGGTCCCACGGGGATCCGGCCTTTAGGTTCGGCGAGGGCACCCGTCCCTGGGTCGTCGCAGTCCCGTCCTTTGCGATGGGTCCACGTCGGCCTGTATGGTACCTGCCTGGATTGTGGGCAGGCTCTGGCCACTGTTGTTGCCTGCCCGTCACGTTGCGGTGTCAGGTGTGGTCAGGGGGTCGGCCTTTTGGCCACGGCTCAGAGACGTGGTCCCACCTGGCCCCCCTTAGGCAAGGGGGTCAGCGGGGGTAGGCCTGGTCACCCATACGTCTTCCCGCTCCGTGTGCTCCGCACGGAGGTCCGTTGGGGGTGGCCAGTGTCCCGTGGTGCTGGAAGGGCCACGGAGGGCATGGGGGCTGCCCGCTTCCGGCGGTCAGTGCTGTTCGCGGAGCAGCACGTCGGTGAGTTGGCGCTTCTCTCTTTCTCTCCGCTTCGTCTTCCTCTTCCTTCCCTTGTCCGCCCCGTCGGCAGGTTGGCGTCCGCTGTTGCTCCTGGCTGACGAAAGGGGGGGCGGCGTTCGACCCCCCCCGTTTTCGGCCCATTCCTGGGCTTGCCCCAGGAATGGCCCCGATGGAATTGCGGCGCGTCGGACGTGTGTTTTGTTGTTTGTGCCTGCGCTCCATTGTTTAGTTTGGTCGGCTAAGGCATTCTGGGTGGGGGATATATGGTACATTTGCCGTTTGGTCGTCGTCCCGTCATCAGTGCCGACGGACCAGCGATATGGACGTCGGCTTTTCGGTCTTTGCTTTATTATCCACACAGGGAGGCCAGGAATAGCCCAAACGCTGACCACGCTCAACCAAACGGCCCGAACGTTGCCTAAAAGCGGGTGGCGAAGGAAAAGGCCCGTTTTATCTTCGGACGCAATACGAACAGGCGGGTGCGGGCTGGCGAGTTCTACGTCAGGGTCAGCGGCATCTGCTGCTGGGTGGTCGGAGTTCGGCAAGTACTTCCACTTGGCGAAGAACGTCGACATTGGCGCGGGCGCCCTACCAGAGGAGTTTAAGAGCATCTTTGTCGACGTTTGTGAAATTGTCGCATGTGCGCTGGTCCGCGTAGGATGGAGGCTTGCGCTCGCGTGGGGTGGACTCTGCAGCGGCCGCGCGAAAGCTCGCGGAAGACCGTGGGCGAACGCGTGGGTCTGGGCGCCGAGCTGTCTCGTTATTTTTCTCGCCGTTTCGGGCGTGCAGTTGGGAAACCCGCGGCGTTCGGAGACGAGCCGGCGGGGCTGTGTCCGGCGTGCCGGGGGGGTGCGAGGCGGGGCGCGGAGAGGCAATGTGGCGGGCCAGCGAAGAGAAGAGGATGAGAGTTGGCGCGGCGGGGCTTGGGGGTGGGCGAGGCTGGGGACTCCAACTGCAGGGTGTCGGGCGCGAGGGGTCTTGGAATGGGCGACGCGCGGATCCACGAGTGCGTCGCCTGACGGCGCGCTGGGCTAGAGGAGCTGCCCCCTTTCCGGCGTCGTCGTCGTCTTTCTCGTCCTCGATCTGTTTGTTCGCTCGCCTTGCGTTGTTCGCCGACGGCCGTCGCCGTGAACTGCTTTGTGGGTGGGGCGGGGCCGCAGTGCATGGGGGCAGGTGTCCCCGACGCATGCCAGGGCGTGGTCCGGGCAGCTCGGGCTGGCTGGGGCGTGTGTAGAAGCAGATGTATGTAGGTGCACCGTGAGTTGCAGGTTCCAGGTCGGGGGTGGTGGTTCCGACGATGCATGCAGGCGTCTGGGTCATTGTTTGTCTTGGACGTCCTGTTCTGCTTCGGTGTGAAGTCAGGCATGGCGTGCGGCGTCATGTTGCTTCAAATCGTAGCACTTGCCACGCTGCCCGAGATCTAATGGCCTTCCTGCCTGGGTTGTGGTTTCCGATTCTTTTTAGATGCTGCTCGGGGTTATGTGGAATGCCTCGCGAAGGCATTTGGATAGTGTTGCGCTGGCGCAGACGGTATGACTCAAGTAGTACAGAAGTGACACCATGAGCGTCATGTGGGCCCCTGCGGGCGTGGATCCCTGTTGCTAGACAGGTGCGTCGGATGCTTCATGGCTGAGGTGGTATCCCAGCGGTGCCGTTGGGGCCATATCGATCGAAGGGAGTGGGATTGGAAGAGTAGGAGGAGCAGGAGGATGAAGCGGGCGAGGAGGACGTGGAGGAGGAGGAGGAGGAGGAGGAGGAGGAGGAGGAGGAGGAGGAGGAGGAGGAGGAGGAGGAGGAGAGAGAGGAATGTAATAGGGGGTGACGCAGGGAACGACGACGATGACGGCGACGACGACGATGATGACGACGATGGCGTTGGCGACGACACAGGTAGAAGCTGTCCATCTCTTATTGAAACAGTCCTTTCCTGATGCCGACAGCAAAGAAGTACAGTCTGCCCACGCTCTTAGTAAGACCCCCTGGGTGTTTCACAAAAAGCAAGGCCCTCATGACCTAATAAGCCAGAAGCTCTCAGCACCCAAGTGAGTTGTTCGAGGTCGCACTGGTTCCGTTTTGAAGGGCTTGCCAAGCACACGTGTATACAAGTGGCGCGTGTGTGCCCAGGCTCCTACAAACAACTGAAGGGGCGTTTGAAGCAGGAGTGAAATGCAACAGCGAGGTCGCACTCGAGCGCAAGTAGGGTTGCCACACCTTGCGATGTGTGTACCAGGGCCCCCCAGGAAGCCTCAGGAGGCCCGACTTGGATACCAGAAGAGGCTCCAGGAGGCCCCAGGGTTGTGAGTGTTGTGAGTGTTGTGAGTGTGTGTGTGTGTGTGTGTGTGATGTGTGCTCTGTGTTGTGCGTGCTTTTTGTGCGTTGTAGGTGTTATGTGTTTATTCTGTTTGTCTAGCGTGTGATGTCTTGGGCGTGATTTGTGTCTCTGTGTGTGCATGTAGTTCTGAGGCCCCAGGAGGCCCCAGGAGGCCCCAGGAGGCCCCAGGAGGCCCCAGGCGGCCTCAGGAGGCCTCAGGAGACCCCATGAGGCTTCAGGAGGCCCCAAGAGGCTCCAGGAGGCCGCAGGAGGCCCCAGGAGGCCCCAGGAGGCCCCAGGAGGTTTCAGGAGACCCCCAGGAGGCTCCGAGGCGGGGTCTGGGGTACCAGAGGTTCAGAAAGCCCCAGGAGGCCCCAGGAGGTTCCAGGAGGCCCCCCAGGAGGCTCCGAGGCGGGGTCTGGGGTACCAGAGGGTACGTCGGGGCTCGATTTTAGGAGGATGTTTCAGGCGAAACCGCCATTCATTGAGAATCGGGGTCAGCATTATTGAAACTACCATGTGGTTTTGAAGGTTTTATGTTACAATGTTAAAATTCCCATGTGCTTTTGGACCCTGACGTCACGATCTGCGTGAGGGGTGCCACCGATTTTTCAGAATTTCGAGGATGTCCCTAGCGAAACGGCCAGAACAATCGCGGACGCGGCGCCCCGCGTACGCATTAATCGTCTCTGAGCTCTACTCCTTCGGAGAGGTGCGTATGATAATATATATATATATATATATATATATTGATATAGGTGTGCTGCAAGCGGGCATTCATGCCATATTGCCATGGCTCCAGTTCCACAGTCTTAGCAGCTTGTCGAAACCTCTCTCTAGGCTTTTCAAGCAATATCTTCTTCTTGTCCAAATAGGGCCATCCTACAATGCTGCGCACCGACTGCCTGGTCCAAGGGGCTGTCGCAATCACTGGAACATGGTCGGCAGCCTTTGTGATGAGGTCGATTTGATGGTCGCCTTTCATATTGGACAGGTCCTGAAACATACCTTTCGTCCGTCACGGTATAATCAATGCGATGTTTCGTACCCGCCTTCTTAGACACGAGAGTGAAATCATCGTCGTCCCCTAAGAACGTGTTGGCGTTTTTTGTTTTT